CCTTCCCACTTGTTTCTGGCTTGACGACCCATCCTTGTCTCCGCATTTCCCACTTTCCTCTCCGGACTCACTTTCTCGATTGTCTTCGCCTTACAACACTTCCGGTTTCCACATTTTGCCCACGAGTTTGGCGACTCTCGGTCGGCCAGGAGACGCTATCTGTCGCCATGGCGACGAAACGATGACCTCTTAAGAGAGGCGAACCGGTTTCAAGACAAATCGCATCTCTGTCCATGCACAAGTGGACAGACAATGTTGCACAACAACCTGACATGGACCAATGTTTAGTTTGATCGACTCGAGATCGCCCCGCTTTCGGGTACATCAACACCAAATTGGTTGAAGTCGCCCAGTCGCGCATTCTCCATTCTCCCAGCCTCATTCGGCCAGTCGTGCGTTTCCAGCCGCCGATCCAACCGCCAGCAACCGAGGTTTTTAACTTAACACAACAAATTAATCGCAAATCTTGATTCTCTTTTGTTTTTCCGCTCTTCGTCCGGCTCAAAGGGTGGGAAACCATGTCCTACACAGTAAAATCATCCTCTCTCTCTCTCTGCTGTACCCTCTTTTGCCCCCAAAACTGCTACATGTGAAGTGTTTTGTTTAATGTGACCTTTTTTCTTCCCTTCAGCATCTTCTACGACCATCTTACCAACTACCCGGAGATGGTGAGTTCTTGGCGCTTCATAACTTGTTCAAGTATTTACCCAAACTCCGCCTTTACCATCCTCTCTCTCTCTCTCTCTCTCTCTCTGGACTCGAACCCCTCTCTTTCCTCCTCGCAAAGTGTACTGGAACCGAAAACTATGAAGTTGGAAATATTTCCTTTCGGTGGTAGCGAGAGAAGAGGGTGAATCTTGATCGAACCCTCGTCTACAGAAAAGTAGGGCAAGAGATTTGCTTCCGTTCCCTTGGGACATGAAGAAGAGGCCCGGTGCCTCGTTGAAAATGCGGTCAACATTATGACAGGCATTCATCATATTTCTTTAGGCGATAAAGAACTGTTAGTTGAAGTTTCCTGCAATCAGATGATAAGACCTTACGTCTTGCAAAAGGTCTTCTTATTCCGTTGCGAGTGGAGCGCGGTTTCGACTTCACCCCAGCTGCACTTAAACCCGGATTGTGATTGTCCATCGTATATTATACACACTTTAACCACTGCATTTCTTATTTTCGTTTTTATGAAAATTTTCGCTTATATGTGTAGATCATATATATGTGTCTACTTACAAACGAAAATAAGTAGTATGGTAAATTGTAGTAACAAATACAA